AGGTTATAGCACCTTGCTATGAGTTCATCAACAAAATCAATTCATCATAAAAACAATCCTTCACTTAAAATTTATACTACCAAACCACAACTCACGTAACTGGCTCATCATAAACTTTGGCAGAAACCATATCTGCACACTAAAGTAAGCTAACCAGCAGTATTTGGTGGACATTTCTTGGGGGGAAGGTGGGCAGATACACATGAAATCGATTTGTTTAGCAGCAGTTAAGCTTACTAAAGCTGGGTTTTGGTTTGTTTTTTTTTTTTTAATGTGAGTCTGCATGCAACCTAAACTGGTTTGGTATTACTTTGTAACAAACAGCATATGTATCCACTGCTGTGAAAGAAGTGCCAAATTCATACATTAGGGTCACTTACGTGACATTTCTTATGAAAAAGGGCTGCAAAGGTTTGGGCCCACAGTTCCATTTTGCTTATTCAGTGCAGCTGTAAGGTCGGCTCCCTGCCATGCAGTGATGACCATACACAGTAACCTAGATACAGTAAATGTTCTTCTGCCTATACCACCACTTTGCTCGTATTAAAGCAGCAGTGGCACAAACACTTTAAACTGGGATAAATGGCACTGACAATAAAATAAGGAAGCAATCCATCTATCTCCAGATGCTCGTTTTGCACCTGGGCTACCCCAGTTCCCTGAGAGAAGCAGAAATACCAAGTGGCTGCACAGCAAATTAGATTATGAAAGTTATTCAGCTAAAATTAGCTGAGCCAAATAACCCATTATTCCCTGAGCAGTTCCCTATTGTTGACCCTCTACACCATGACATGTATTTATCCTGTTTTCTATGGTTGTAGTCAATTCTTTTCAGTATATTTGAAACCTTAGAGATTTTGGTTTTATTTGAAACCAGCTATTTCATCTACAGTAATGACTTCAAGCTTTTGTCATGGGCCTCCTTTTGACAGCTTTTGTTAGGTCAGGTCCAATTCTATGCCAGGCACTGCCTCCCTTGCCTTTGTACAGCTGCTACCAAGAGCAGCACTAAGCCATCAAGCTTACACCAGCTGGCATCACAAGGACAGCTTCAGCCGTGCTTTGATTTAAACAAAAAGCAAATCAAAAAGTTGTGGAGCACTCCACGGAACATCTCTTAAGAGTGCTAACAGTGCAAATTCACTAAATCTTGAATATTGCTTAGAAAATTCTGCCTGCTACATCTTCATTTAATGAAAATACTTTGTGCACATACTTCATTCTGCATGCAAACCCACAGAGCCCATCAAATTGATCAGAATACATTGCAACCACTAGCTTAAGTGAAAATTTATTTCAGATAAATATATAGTTATGTTCACATGGAAAAATAAAGATAAAAAGGTTTTTAGGCATCCATTTATTTTGGGTTCCTTTCATCACATACATCCACTGCCTGGTGTCCAGAGACCTCAGGCTCTTTCAAGTGCAACTGTAATCACAGGCTTTCAGATCTTGTTAATTCATCCAAATTACCCAAAATTAGAGGACACAGTTTTAGGTCCTGACCAGTGTATTGTGGTGGGGCTGTGGCACAGCAAAGACTATGCATGCTGCTCTGCTTGGTCTGACATTATCTAACATTTAAACCAGTCCTTACTTTATGTGTTCACGCAACTGCCTGAAACTTACGCTGGCAATGAATACTGAGATAGTAAGACAGAAATGTCGCTAAAAATTAAAACGTTTCTGCTACATAACAGTCTATAAATATTAAATCCATTGCATTACCAGTTTCCAAATGCTGGCCTTGAAGGATAAGCCAGCTAGTGGATGGTTACGAGTTTCATCGTATTAGGCCAGAGTCCAAAACCCTCAAGCCAGCTGGTAATTAACAGACATCTAGGTCCTCCACATGAAAGAAGTCTATTGTTTAAACAGTGACACAAATTTTCCCTTTCCTTTTCATTGCTGGTCTCTGCCTGTGTTTTAAGATTCCCTTAGGACCATAACAGTATGATTTTAGAAGCTCAACTTCTCAAACTGACGTTTGACTTTAAATTGCCAGGAATGCAAACATGCTTACACCACAGGTAGAATAAAATCATTCTACAGGCTTTTTGGAAACCCTAAATCTTCCCTTTCTTTGATCTAATGTCTGGGAAAAATTAACATCCAAATAACCTGATTGAAACCTACCACATCTACAATAGCAATAGAATCGCAGAACAGAGTAACAAAAGATACTGAGGGCGTGTAAATAGTCTGTGGTAAGTCCAATTAGTAAGCAAGGTACCTATAGGGAATATTAATCTGACTTCATAAATAACAATGTGTTACATCATGTCTAAGATAAACCAAAGGATACCTCACTGAACACATCTGTAAAGAAGCAATGATGTATGATGCGTATAAAATTGCCTTTTCTCTGACCTGTTATCTTTTCATGCATTTTGATCACATGCATGAAAACAAGAGACTACATATAGACCATATTTAAACTAATCAATGTCATAAAAGAGAGTATTATGTTAAAGTTGTATTTTGAAAGAATAAGGTGTGGGCGCTTAATCTATAAGGGAGCAAGTTAACTCACCAAGAAGGGTAAGAGGAAGGCTGTGACAGAGAAGTACTCAACTGATGATTTAATGATTTAAGAAGACACAATAAAACAAAGAGCAAATCTCATCACAAAAGGACAATAAGCCAAATGAGAATTATGAAACATTTTCTGAATGCCCTTGGCTTTCCAAAGTCTACGGTTTAGACTGCTTTACTGTTTTCTGGAGTGCAACTGGTGTCTCTGCACCTCACCCAAGCCTATGTGGCCATATGAAGAAACACCCAAATCCCCACCACATTCAAGACGATAAAAATATCACTGGAGAATAGAACTGGACAAGACAGCTCCTTTTGGACCAGCTTCATCTCCTCCCACTCAAAGGAGCCATTTGTGGTCTGCCCACCTATGAAGTTGTTCACTTGAAGTCTCTAAATACAACCAGACACAAGCATAATTCAGCAACTCCATCAAGAGCACCATTCACAGGATAGTCAGCCCTTTCAGTGTCACCCTAACGAAGGTGCTAGCAAACCCATAATCATGTGGAATGGGCTGGCCGCACCTTTGGTGCAGTTAGTCACTCCAGGTCTAGACTGCAGAGCCCCAGGAAGTTCAAACCACTGCTGAAGGAATGCTGTGGGCAGGTTACTGCAATACCAGATCAACATCACTTGTGAGCTTCTGCCACCTAACAAGTCTGAAAGAACTGAGCTCACTGGCAGAATTTGCTGCTGTGTTGCAGAAAGCCTATTTCACTGTTGTAGATGAATGCAAAACCAAGGAAACTCAGGTATGCTTCAAAACTGTCTCCTCATAGTCCTTAATTTTAAGACTCATTTCCCATTTCTTTTGCTTCAAATAACAAGCAAAATATATTACTGATTTTTCTTTTTTCTGAGACATGTAGTCATGTGCTCCCAGCTTCTTCCACCATTCCCAGTTGCTTATAAAAGCTTCTGAGTGCTACTTTACAGGGAATAACACAGACTACACCAGTGTTAACCTCTCCACTACATGTCCTCTACATTCACTTGCTAAAATAAACTGTATTTCCAGTCACACTGACATAAAGTACATTTATAGATGCATGAATGAAAAGGTCTGATTTCAATCAGTCATAAATTTCGTTTCAGCAGATTCCTTGAGCTGGCCTCCCAAGGACAGAGTCAGCACTCCCACGCTCTGTTCTCTGGAGCCTGTATCTCCATGACCACCATGGAGCATAGTGGTGCGTGTTCTCTGACAAGACCCCACTGTGGGAGGTAGAATATGCTCCAGCAGCTTGCTCAGAGCTGCAGGATAACACCATGCACTGGTGGTAAAGAAGTGACATAAAGCAATGACAAACCACCTTGAAAAACCTGGTTAATTTTTGCCACCCTAAACAATATAGACTTTATACAGCCACAGAGCAAACACTTGTATAGCAATGGTGCTCAAAAAAATAAGGGTAATGTAAACCTTTTCACATTTTGAGTCAAAAAGGCACTCATAATTTGGCACTTCAGAGGGTACAGCTGCAAGCAGCAAAGGCAAACAGGTGGGCCAGCAGTGAAGTTATGTAACAGATTTACCTTCTAAATATTCTTAACTGGAATCAAAGACCCAAACACCCTTCAGTAACTTGCCTTTATTCTCCCATGCTCCCCACCTGTGTGACAATGAGCTCAGGTAGCTGCTACGACTGCTATCATGGAGTGGCTAGGGTTAGAAGCGACCTTTAACATCATGTAGTTCCAACCCCCCTGCCACAGGCAGGGACTCCTTCCACTAGAGCATGTTGCTCAAAGCCCTGTCCAACGTGGTCTAGAACACTTCCAGGGACGGGGCAGCCACAGCTTCTCTGGGCAACCTCACCACCCTCAAGGAAAAATTTCTTCCTAATATCTAATCTAGGTCTACCCTCTTTCAGTTTCAATTTAAAGCCACTATTCTTGTCCCTACATACCCTTGTAAAAAGTCCCTCAGCCTTTCTTCATAGGAGAGGTGCTCCAGCCCTCTCTTGACTCTTTGAATAAGACAACTTCTCACAAGAGTCTAGTGACTGTCCGGACTCCACACTAGCTGTGGGAAGATCCAGAGGCACTGGGAGAGCACAGCAAGCTGCCGCGCCCCGTAACCACCGCTGAGCTCATTCCCCAACACCTCAGGCCACGCAGGCCCCACCAAGCCCAAATAAACGTCCGAGTCCATCCCTTCAGCCTAGCGTTCACTGAGCCGGCCCTCCTCCCCTCACCCTCCCCGGCCAGCTGGTCGGCACCGTGCTAACACGCAGCAAAGCCCCGGGGGAGGCTGCCCCTGTGGGCGCAGCACTGCGGTACATGGGGCCTGTCAGTCGCCGGGGGGGATCGGCCTGGTACGGCCCTTCCCAGGCCGCAGCCTGTTCTCAGACGGCGAGAAACGCATCCCGGGAGGAGCAGCGGGGTGTGGGTACCCCTGTGCCTCAGCGTGGCACCCCATGGCTTTCATCCTTTTCTCTGCTTAGTCCCCAGACGAGCTGAGAGGCGTTGGCCAGAGGAGGTGCTGGAGCAAGGCCCCGAGTGGTGCACGAGTATCCCAGGACCGACCCAGCTTGGGCCTTGACCGGAGGCTGGCCCTACCACAGGCTCACCCCATGTCAGCCCAGGGCAAGTGCTGGCCCAGCTTTTCCAGCCTGACTGGCAGAGCAGCTCGTGTCAGCAGGCCGCCGCAACGGTGCTGGAGGACAGCGAGATCAACACAGGGCTCTCCTGCCTGAGCTGGGCTCAGTGCTGGGTGATACCACAAAGAGTGTGACAGCCCTCCAGACAGCCGCCCCAGAAGATGGAAGACAAAAGTAAGCCTTAAAACAGATATGTTTTGAATAGTCAATGGACAGATCATGTGAGAAACCTGTCTAGGAATGGGCAGTCTTTTCCCTGTCAACGAAATGAAATTTCTGTGCCAGAATGAACGGATATGTTTTGGGGTTTGTTTTTTTTTTCAGTTATAGAAGAGATTAAGTAGCTAACTTACAAGTAAGGTGCATTTTATGTTCTCTGTGTTGTTAAAGGTGATAGAAATTTGGTTTCTTCAGTTTGGTTGCAGAATGCTGCTTTACTTCTCCCTAGTGGTATTACACTGCAGATATCTCACTTTATCAGTTGAGAAGTGGATTCGTTTAGGTTTTTTTTTTACCTTATTTTTTTCCTAAATAAATCTATTTAGTTGCAATACTGCTGTTCTGGCAGCATTAATTTAAAAAAGAGATAAATATGAGAGCTAAGAGGCAGTGGGGATTATGTAGGCTCAGCTGAGTGTGCTGAAAAGTATGGGTCATCCCATGACAGCTTCATGCTGGAGGGATAAGAAGTTACCTAAGTAAAAAAGAATTTCCTCCCAGAGCTTGTTTCATCTGAGTGTCAGCTAAGTCCTGACAAGACGTGGGATAGCTATTTGAAAGTGGAATGGCTATTTCACCACACAGTCCTCCCACTGATGCCTGCTGTAGTATCTACTGGTACAAATTTTAGAAAACTAAGTAGCTACAACCATTTTAATTTCTTACCTGATCTCTTGTTCATTCTGCACCTCTCGCATCACTGAGTGACTTCCTTGAAGTGGAGAACCTTACCAGTTCTGGGGAGGAGAGACTTGAATGTAGGATAATTTGAATTTGTGGAGGGGAAGGGGAAAGTAGTATATATTTGGCACCACTTCTGGTGTGAAAATGATAACCAGAAAATAATAGTTTTGTCTTCTGTAGTGTATAAGATGTCGGTTAGCAGCACTACAGGTCTTGTAGAGGAAACACGCACCCAAGTATTTTTTCCAGTAGCTGGCATGAGTAGCCATGCCGTTGGCTGGGTTTTTTTTCTTGCTCTAGCTGTTCCTTATCGCACCTGTGCTCCAGGCCCTTCACCAGCTCTGTTGCCCTTCTCTCTACTGGCTCTAGCACCTCAATGTCTCTCATGTAGTGAGGGGCCCAGAACTGAAAACAGGCCTTGCTTTGCCCCACCCCACCTTCACTTGCCTTGCTTTGCTGTGCTCTGCCTTGCTTTGCTGTGCTCTGCCTTGCTTTGCTGTGCTCTGCCTTGCTTTGCTGTGCTCTGCCTTGCTTTGCTGTGCTCTGCCTTGCTTTGCTGTGCTCTGCCTTGCTTTGCTGTGCTCTGCCTTGCTTTGCTGTGCTCTGCCTTGCTTTGCTGTGCTCTGCCTTGCTTTGCTGTGCTCTGCCTTGCTTTGCTGTGCTCTGCCTTGCTTTGCTGTGCTCTGCCTTGCTTTGCTGTGCTCTGCCTTGCTTTGCTGTGCTCTGCCTTGCTTTGCTGTGCTCTGCCTTGCTTTGCTGTGCTCTGCCTTGCTTTGCTGTGCTCTGCCTTGCTTTGCTGTGCTCTGCCTTGCTTTGCTGTGCTCTGCCTTGCTTTGCTGTGCTCTGCCTTGCTTTGCTGTGCTCTGCCTTGCTTTGCTGTGCTCTGCCTTGCTTTGCTTTGCTGTGCTCTGCCTTGCTTTGCTTTGCTGTGCTCTGCCTTGCTTTGCTTTGCTGTGCTCTGCCTTGCTTTGCTTTGCTGTGCTCTGCCTTGCTTTGCTGTGCTCTGCCTTGCTTTGCTGTGCTCTGCCTTGCTTTGCTGTGCTCTGCCTTGCTTTGCTGTGCTCTGCCTTGCCTTGCCTTGCCCTGCCCCGGCCTTCCTTGCCCCACCTTCAAAGGTACAGCCACTTGGAAGAGAAGAGCTTCTGAACCAGTAGCTTAAAAAACACTTCTTTAAACGAAATGTTCTTTACAAATATTTCTAGTGGAGGAAGGAGGCACGATATTAGGGTTGCTTGAATTACTGCAACTGATATCACTTGGTCAACAAAATTTATCAAACTGCTTTTATATGAAAACATTTTGAACCTTTTTTCCCTAGAAACCATAACAAAAATATCGATGGGGCAGGATAGCTTGTGTAGCTAAGGGAGTTACAGCTGTTAACAAAATCCAGATGTCTTTTATTTAATAATATGTTCAGTTCATGTGTTACTTCTATGAGTTTCAGTGGTGATTAATTTATAGTGGTACTAATTTGCTGGTGTTTGGAGAAAGGCTTCCAGAGCACCTTTTGTAGATGTCCTTGAAAATTACTTGAAAAATCATCATGGGCCATTGGAAGCTGTTCTAGTTTGTCACTTGGCTTCTGTTTCACTTTCATTACTAGGTTTAGGAATAGACTTCTGAAAGTTTAAGCCTACTGAAGAAGATAGTTGTCCTGCCTGTTTTTTCAGAAGTGCCTCCCAATTAAATGAGCGTGAGCCTTTCAGAAGTCTACTAGCAGCTACTGATGGTTTTAGACGTCTCAGGAGCTGTACAGACTTGTAAATGGGAATTTGCATTTCAGGTGATTTGAAGACCTTTTGGACACAGTTGGGAGGTAGAAGAGTGGATGCCATATTTGAGCAGGTGCAAAATGTGCTGCTTTTGCTAAAGGAAAAGATCAAGAATGGAACTGCCACAAACCAAGGTTTGAAATCCTTGTGACGGTTAAGCTGGACTGCTGGGGAGCTGTGGCCTGCTCTGTCTAGGGCTGTGTGTTATCCGTGAGAATTCAGATATATCTGAATTTAAATTACTCGCTAGGTGGCATTTTTAAGAACTTTAAAAAATACCTTCTTTCTTTGAAAAAAATACTAATAATTTCAGGTGCATTTTGCAGTTTTCTCATTTTTGCCTGTATACTTTTTCAAACATGTGGCTCTTAGGCATCTAAAACTGAAATGTTTATTATTGAGAAACACTTATGATAATGTTTATTCTTGGTATGGCTTGTACCAAGTGAAGATTAATTCTTGAGAAATAATGAAATGTCTGAACTGCCTTGTGTTTTGTCTATCATCAGAAGGTTTAGACTTTCAAGTTGATCTTGGTGAATGGAATGGGTTTGGGGTGGGATCATGGGTTATTTCCTGTCAGAGACACCATTGTAACTTGAAACATTAGTAGAAAAATGTGAGAGCGATTCATTAAAGATTCTTTGTGATTTCCAGGGAAATAAATTTCCTTTATCTACGTCAAAATCAGAAGTCTGATAAGCTTGGAGCATTACACAAGTTTCTTTTTACTGGCTTATTTAAGTGAAAAAAAACTTTTTTTTTTTATGAAGTTGCCCATGTACATGTATTATATGGATCTTATTACACTTTTTTTTTGTGCAAGAAAATGTGCGATAGTGTAATATGCTTTTAAACAGGTATAGCCACACACTCTGCATTGTAGTGCTTGCTCTAAATTGGGAGCACATTTTTTTTCTGTATTTGAGCTGCCACATTGTGATTTTTGTGACAAAATGTTACAGCAGTGCATAGATAAAAGTTGAACTGAAATCCCCAGATGACACAATGAATTTATAACATAGTGAAATCTCATTTTTTCTATGCTTTCTTCTGTAAAAATTTCAAACTAAAATATTAACATGGATTTTGCTGCCATTTGTCTGCTACCTTGTAATATTTATTGCATGGGGTAAGAGGTTGAGACAGAACTGGTCTCTTTGTGTTCTTACTATCTGAAGGCCATTTCCATCAATTTAGTAGTAAGTCTGCCAAGATCTAGCTCTTCTTATCCAGAAGATGACTAGTCTGATGACGAAGTAAAGAGAAAAACTTGCACTAAATTGTGCTTATAGCCATTACTGCTACTGTTTTGTGTGTGCTTGGAAACATTCCAGCAGGTTTCCAAAAGCCAGAAGATACTCAGTGCTGATTCACAACTACTAATATGAGCTGTAATTTTGTAGTAATTAAAGACTGTGGTGCAAAAAGTTTCTAATAGTATCAGTCTTGCAATACTCTATTTTATTATTGTGAGGAAACAAGTGTCTCTAAAGGACTTGCACCTTGTTTTCCCTATTATCATTGTCCCTGTTATCATTACGTAAATTGCATTTAATATCTGTTTTGTTTTGGGGTTTGCACAGAATGCTGGCAAGCTTGGGCACTGGTGAATGAAGCTAATGTAGGTGATCTCTTAACCTTGACAAATGGTATGTGCATCTCAATTACATTTATTTGGTGTGTGGATTTAATTTGTCTTGTTTTACTCACTAGGAGCTTATATCCCTTTGTTGAAATCAGTAAAATAATTCTGAGAAGCCTGCTAACATTACAAGGGGAAAAAAATGTAATTATTAGTTTCCTCAGGTACTGGACCTGGGTTTGTACTTTTGTGGTTTGTGTGTATGTGTATATGGCTGGTACCAAGTGAAGAGAGTTTGAGTTAGTAAGCCTGATAACTCTGCTTGTAGACAGCTGGGATTCATCTTGTGCATGGCTCCACTAGGTGTAATACCCTAGCAGCCTTTCACCTCAAATAATGAAAAGAAATATGTATATGTGTTTCGTATGCATGTTGTCTCCGTGAACTTTGAAAGCAAAATGAGCAAATCACGTGGTCATCTGTGAAAGGGGGTATATTTTCATGATATATTTCTGCCTCAGGTTTATCAGTGCACACCTAAGTTTTACCCTTTGGGGGAAAAGAAAAGAGAAAGAGAGGGAGAGGAGGAGCAGGACAGAAGGTATAAGAGTATGTCTCGTGTCAGCTAGTCACTCACTTGCGAATCGATATGTAAACACATTACTTTTGTATAAATTATAAAAAGCAGTAGGGCTTTTTTGTAGGGCACTTGCTAGCATGCTCTTTGTTAGCTGTAGTTCATAGCAATGTATTGGTTTTAATGTATTTTGGCAACTATCTCTTCAGTGTCTAAAGTAAGTTTTATTATAACTAGAAATGTGGATTGATGAAGGTTTTGCTTGCATTCAAATTTTTGCAGTAAGTGATGTGTTTGACAGAGATGGCATACAGGAAACCAAACCCAAACTGCAGCCTCGTCTTACAGATGACAACACTGCAAAGTCTGTAGAAGGTTCTCAAAGGTCAGTGTATTTATTCATTTATTCCAGTTCCTTATTTACCATATTCTTTAGCGCATTTGAGAAATTTTAATCTCTTTCTTTTATTTCTAAATTCATCATTTTCAACTCAGTTTTGAATACTGCCAGTTTTCAAAGTGAAAGTATTTTTAATTTGGCCTACATGAAAAACCCGAGATTTTGAGTAGTTTTGTTTTCTAAGCTGCTGCTTTTTTTTTTCTTTCTTTCTTTCTTTCTTTCTTTTTTATTCCAAATAGCAGAAAGAAGGAGGTGGAAAAAACAGGTTCAGGGAGTAAAGAAGCATCTAGTAAAATTCAAGATTTACCTTCGCACCTGCAGTATCAGAACCACAAGTGCTCTAGTGCATGTCTTGCCAACAGAGCAGCAGGCTTCTACAAGGGGGAAAATCCTCTTAAGATACCGATCCTGTTTCGCTTCCAAAGACGCCATGCAAAAGCAGACTGCCTTTCCAAATCACTGGATGTGAATTACAAAGCTCCATGTGGTCGGAGTCTAAGAAGCTTTCAAGATGTACAAAATTATTTGTTTGAAACTGAGTGCAATTTCTTATTTGTTGATTATTTCTCCTTCAACACATATGTACTGTTGGGCAGGAACACTGTAAATCCAGAACCCCTTGTGTTTGATTCTGATATTAGCCATGGAGCCGAGTCTGTGCCTGTTTCCTTCTGCAACGATATTGACTGTGCAAGGTTACCTTATTTCAAATATCGGAGGGCATCGTGGCCACGTGGATATTACCTCAACAACTTATCCAGCATGTTTGTTGATTCATGTGGCTGCACAGATGGCTGCATTGATAGGTAGGTAGAAAAATTCCAGTCAAGTGGTGCATGATGGCTCAATGGTAGGGTAGTGGTGTAAGTGTGGAGGCATACAGTACCAAACAGTGCTGAATAACATAGGATCAACACTGCTGGTAGTTGTCTTGTGCCATGTTCTGTGTTGACTGACACCACTGTGTCTTTGTCTTCTGCAGAACTTGGGTGCTCCTACCCATGCAGCCTCTGTTGTAGGGGAGGAGGTGATCAGCAGGTGGATTACTGTGTTCCTTTCCCTTTCTTCCTAAATTAACAGTGCTACTCCTTCTGATAGAGCTGGGAGGCAGATTTCTCAACTTTGGGAAAGGAGTGGGAGAGGGACAGTCTTGTGCCAGCAGAGGAAAGCTCATTTTCCTAGCAGGCAGGGAAAGATCCTGCATGACAACTTCTGCTTCAGCTCCTGCTGGGATGTTATCCTATAGATGAATGGGACAGCTGGAGAGACCAGATCGTTTGGAACTTAGCAGGTTACTGAGGACAGAGTAGGAAACATCCCCATTCACACCCTCTGCATCTCATCCTTCCCCTTGTCTAAACAGAAACTAGGGGTCGCAGAACACATAATGTTCTGTTGCTCATTGCTGCCTTTTTCTAAAGCTCAGTAACTCTGGGCTACATAATACTCAGTAGGAACTTCCCACAGTTAGCAAATGTGAGTTTGTTGATAATTTTGTCTGCTTTCTTGAAGGGTGTTTGTGTGATCTATGCCTGTAGGTGTTATTTGGTGTTGAATCCATTTTGTATTATTGATAGCTAGGGCAGTTGCATGTGCTGGTGTGCAGTATAATTGCCCATAAGCCAAATAAAGCTTGAAATCACAGTCGAGTATAATGAAGATTCGGTAATTAAAATTACTTAGTTTCAGCTGAGCAGTGAGGAACAGCAAACACATAGCATGATGATTCTTTGCACTTAATTTTCCCAAGAGCTGAGATGCTTTTGATATGCAGTTTTGGGGTCCAGGATTTGATCCATCGGGTCTTTGGAGTTGTCATGACATGAGATGGTGAAGACCAGCATTGTTGCCTGCGTTCTCCAATCCACAGTGTGAAATTCTTCACTTCCTTGGGGCAAGGGTGAGAGGGAAAACAGGTATATATAAAGGGGTGTGTACAGTCAAGTACTTTTTAAATTGTCTAGATGTATGTTTGATTTACGCTGCTCCAAATATATTCTGGGATGTTTTACTGATTTTTTTTTTTTTTTTTTTTTTTTTTTTTAAGGTCAAAATGTGCATGCCTACAGCTAACTGCAAGAGGCTGTAGTAAAACTTCTTTATCTCCAAGTGGTAAAACATCCTATGGATACAGTTACAAAAGACTAGAGCGACCTGTTCCTAGTGGGTAAGAAAGACCAACTATTAACTGTTATTTCATTTGCTCTTACTGTCCTCCTGTAGTGTGTTACTGTACTAAAATATCTGCAGTGTCTAGATGTCTAGATTACTGAAACCTTCCATTTTTGTTACAATTTACTGACAGATCAGGATGATAGAAAAATAATTAATGTGACTTGAGTAATGGAAGCAATAAAACTCTTTCGTACTGCAGGAACTACAATTTTCACAGCTTAGCTCAAGGTCCAAGAAAAGGATGAAGTATTACCTGGTCCAGGAGCTCAGGCAATATCTGGCACATACGCTGGTTCATTCAGGCATGGCAAGGGGAGGAGGGAGACAGGAGGGAAACTTTCCACAAGGGAAGGAGGTCTATCACAAGAGCATTACGGCATGTGTCAGCCAAAGATGTAGGAAGCAGTAGCCACCCTTGTTTTTTGCCCTGTGTCTTGTCTACCCATTTGCTCAGTGGGACCAGAGTCCTAAAGAAATATGAGCCAGCTGCTGTTGCCAGACTTGGTTATATGTGACTCTTCCAAGAGTCTCTAAAGCCATCCCAGTGCTGCAAGTATTTGCCCTTTCTCTTATTCAGGTCCCATGGATTATTAATATATGGCCTAGGGAAGGTGCCAGGAACTCAGATGTTTAGGAGAGGAATTGTGCAAACTAGCTTGCTGCAATAGCTAAGGGCTGAACCCATAAGCTTAAGGAGCTCTTTCAGTCCTTTGTTGCTGTGATGTTAGTTTATGGTTGGTGTGCAGAATTAAAGCTGCCAGTAAGCCTAGAAACAAATGAAAAAAAACCTCAACCAAACAAAACACAATTGTGAATTTTTTTACAAATGTTTCATTAAATTCTAAAACCTATGACAGGTACAGTCACCAGACAGGTGACAGGTTGGCTCTGCTATAATCTGTTCCACCATAGAACAAAGGTGCTTCACAGGGTTTTCTGCTTCTGTGTGATTAAATCCTATAAAATAAAAAGGTAGCATTTACTTTTCTTGTCTACTTATACCAAAATCTGGCTGACAGACTATTAAAATTGATGAATCAGCCATCAAGAAATTTACAGGCTTCAGAGCACTGCTCCACAATCAGTTTTAGTCAACTGCTTTGTTAATGCTTAGGAGGGAAATTAATAGTAATGACTTTGTTTTGGTAATGCATTCTTTGACACTGTTTTGTTTTGCTTCCTCTTGACAGAATTTATGAGTGTAGTGTGTTGTGCAGGTGTGACAAGATGATGTGTCAGAACAGAGTTGTACAGCATGGCATTCAAGTCAGGTTGCAAGTGTTCAACACGGAGAAGAAAGGCTGGGGCGTCCGCTGCCTAGATGATATCGACAAGGGGACTTTTGTCTGTACTTACTCAGGTAACAGACGGTGGCCCATAGAATATGTAGAGTGTAATACTCCCTATCCTGTGGCCTGTGCCCTGGAATTTTTTTGAGAACAGGGAAGTACAGGGTTGGAAGAGAAGTGACTCAACAGTCTTAACTTGTAAGATGGTTAGATGGATGAAGAACCTTGAAGAACTCTGCAGTGCGATGATGCAAGGCAATCAAAAACATTCCGGAGCAAGGGCTATCTCAGACTGTTGATTTTTGCCTCACAGGTCTGTGCATATTGTGTGCCAGGGCTAGTTTTTCTTCAGTATAAATTCATTCATATTTTGCTTTCCCAAATAATGTTTGTGGTTGCTGGTTGTTCTTATGTAAGTTTGAGCTGCAATAGCAAGCGTGACCCATCTTAGCAACCAAACAATTTAAAATGTATCTATCTTCCCCCCTCTCCTTTCTCCCCAGGCAGATTAATGAGCAGAGCTGAAGTTCAAGTACTGGGAGATGCTGGTCAAGAGCTGAAAGAAAAGAATGCTGTGAATAACAGAGGCCATGGCTTTTTTTCCAAAAAAAGAAAACTTGACACTGATTGTTCAAACTCTGTGATTGAACTAGTGCAGACTGGCAAAAATGACATTCCTGAGAAGCAAGGATCTTTGTCTCAGATTGTGGATAATGAAAATAAATCAACCATGTAAGTTTACCAAACCAAACTTAGGCACAACAAGACTAATATTCTGCTGTTCTAGAAAGTCCTTTGTAAAACTTAAAGTACAGCTGAAAGTCCTCACCTGAGGGTGGTTTGTTGGAATTTTTTTCTCAACTTTTTTGTTAATTCCTGATTGTTTCTTTTAATGGGACAGTTTTTCCTCTATATTAGTTTCACTTACTGTGTGCACTACTTGGCATTTTTAGAATTCCAGTTTCTTTCCTGGGTGTACTTGGTCTGTTCAGGGCATTCATAACTGTGCTGATTTGAAAGAATTAATAAAAAATACTTGAGATAAATGATTTAAAGATACTTGATATCACTGAAGAATTTGATAACAAATGAGCCACCAATTGTCATGTCCTTTGCTCCCAGTCTCTAAACCTCTTGTTCTTTGTGACTTAATCTTTCCTGCTGGGAGCCTTCACCTTTCCTTTAAGGTGTATGACACCACCTCACTTTTGCAGTGATTTATGCAAAAGTTCTGATCCTGTGTTCATTTTACAGTCAGGGTTTCATAGACTATCAGGGTTCTTAAAATTGAATTATTGCAAAATAACCACATGCTTTTGTGAATAGCCTTTTCAGAGGGAAGTCAGGAGCTTGTTTTGTTAGACTTTGTTCCTTGCTCTGCCACACTGCTTTGTAAAAACTGTACTGCTCATAAATGACTGCAAATTCTTGCTTATTTCATAGTAGATGATTATTGTAGATAATATTGTAGAACTCAGGACAGTGTGCTAAGCTTGACATGTCATTCACTCAAACAGATTGCCTTTAGAAGGACAAACAATGTTATGTAATATTGTCACAACTTCTTGCAGCTACTGCACCTCTTCAATTTATAAAGGAGTTGAAATCTTAAGAAAGCCTCAGAGAGTAGCATTTGTTGCCATTATCAGTAGCCCAAAGAAGTACCATGTTGTTTTTTTGTGGCAAGAAAACACATCTAAATGTTTTACATTGAAACTTTTCTTAAATAAGAGCTGTTACTTTTTGCTAGACATTGCACCGTGACTAAGATTAGTTTTGAAAGTGGTGTTTTCTGCTGCACTCTGAATGTAATCCAAATTAATATGATTTTAGATGTTTTTAAATGTATATGCCAAACACTGCTTCCCATCCTTCCTCAACCTTCTCCTGATGTGGAGTGAGGTTCTGTGGGAGAGTATTTTCTACATCTGGTATATATTGCCCATCTCCCCCTCTGTCTTCCTCTCTATCCTTGTGCCCACAACATCTTTGCTTTCTTGTTTGAAAGCTGCACTGTCAAAACTATTGCAAGTGGTAGCAGAAAAAAGGAAAAACTCTTGTCTGTAGGTTCTCAGCAGGAGAACTGGGAAAAGATGTAAAAGCAGTCGCTCATCTCTCAAAAAAGTATGAAAAAATGGGGATTTTTTGCAAATGCTATTGATAATCTAATCTGTGTCCTCAGTTCTTAAAGGCAAAATAGTCACAGAACTTGGGCCAAGGCCAGACAGCAGGCTCTGCCATAGTCTGTTCTTTATGAACTAGAGATTGTTAGAGAAATGTATGTGTAAAAGATACTTATGGCTCTTTTTGTCTTTATAATTTCCTTTTGACCTTTCTGTACAGGGTTCATCCAAGGAATTTAAGCCTTGACACTGCAAGAAGGCCTGGAACTAGAACAGTTATTTTTCATAATCACAGGCAAAAAAAGGTGGTAAGAGGCTTTAATAGATTAATTTTTCACTGTGCTGAGTATGTATGTTAATTTTGACCTTTTCATTTTACACATTTAAATAGTTCTAATGATCTTTCTTCGTGGAACTGTATCACACTGTGAGTTAAACTGGTGTGCTGGAAGCTATAACCCATCCCTTCTCCATTACCAATCTTTCAATATGTTCCCTGAGACCAGCATTAACTACTCTCACAGCCTTCCCTTCCCCACCCTTCACTTACACTCCAGCCTTGAGAGTCTTAAATCATTCTCCCTGTCCTGCTTCATCTGGATTAGAGTTAATTTTCTTCCTGTGCAGGTGCAGTGCTGTGTTTTGGCGTTAGTCTGAGAACAGTGCTGATAACACACCAATGTTTTAGTTTTAAGTAGCAGTTACCCTAATCAAGGACTTTTCAGTCTCATGCTCTGCCAGTGAGGAGGGGCACAAGAAGCTGGGAGGAAGCAGAGGCAGGACACCTGAACTAGTGGAAGGGATATTCATAGAATCATGGAATGGTTTGGGTTGGAAGGGACCTTAAAGATCATCTTGTTCCAACCCCCTTGCCACAGAACATCATGCTCAGTATATAAAGTGGGGGAGTTAGCTAGGAGGGACTGCTCAGGGACAGGCTGGGCACTGGTCAGCAGGTGGTGAGTGATTGTATTGTGCATCACTTGTCTGACTTGGGTTTTATTCCTCTCTCTGTCATCTCCCTTTTCATTACTACTACTACTACTATTATTATTGTTACTCTTAATAACTGAAAAAAGTTAAAATTATTATTAACTGTTTTACAGTTTTCCAGTTCTCCTCCCCCATCCCACCAGGGGTGGACAGTGGCTGTGTGGTGTTTTGTTGCTGGCTGGTGTTAAAACACTCCCCCTCCACTGCCTCCTGTAATTAACTGCAGAGTTATAATATTCTTGCGATGTCTCCCCAACAAATGACACAGAAGGGAGAGAAGGAAAATCTCAGGAGCTGGACACAGTTTTGTGATACAGTGCAGCAGCTGGGAGAGTTTTTTTGATGGGTGTGAAGTGTTGCCTGCTAATACTTGCAAAGGAGGGAATCTGGGGAAACTTACTCTGTAGGTGTCATTGGTTTCATTGCACTTAAGAAATGCATGTGGGATTTTCACACTAACATTTGGCAGCACTGTCCATTCTCAAGCTCATGTAACTAACTGCCTTTTTGTGGTGGGAGACAAGAAATGCTGTCACATCTGTTCATTTTATCGAAATGGTGTAAAAAGTTTGTTTGGGCTCTGGCTCAGCAACTTACACAAATGTATTTAAATTGTGGTGAGACTGTGGGACCTAAGCACTTACTCGAATATTTTATTGAGCAGCAAGTGCTTTCCAGGTTATTCTGAATGATAATTTGAAATGAAGATAAATGTTGGATTGCAGTAACTTTTGAAACATAGCCATAGCCATTACAGTAGGTTTGAAACTTCAGCCCTGGAGTCCTAAAAGCCACTTGCTATCCTGTGTTGATCCAGAGTTGCATACAGCAACAATACATCACAACCTATTCATTATCTTTTATTCTGTTTAAAGGAAATTGATACAATGGTGCACAGTGCCACCTCAGATGAAGATAATAGTTCTCAGATTCATCAGTCAAGCAAAACAAAACTAACCAGTGGATCAAAGACAGGAAAAGAAAGTAGGTTTGCAGAGCTATAAATACTGCAGTCTTAGTACATTTGTGCCCCATGTAGATGTAGAAATGTAGAAAGCTATGTTTGGATATGGGCAGGCCTCTTCTCAGACTAGAATGATGTTGTCTGCATAATGCTTAGGCTATCTTAAGAGACCTCAGTGGTACAGGAGGTATTGCTGCTTTGCATGATACATTGCATTAACTGGTACAGGGCAGTCTTTTGCCTGCAAAATTGATCTTGGGTCATGTCAAACAGTCCTGACAGCAACTTCTCAAATCCAGTGCAACTGTGGGAGAGGCAGTCTTGTGAATCTTACTGTTACACCTAGTACAAAAAAAAAAAAAACTAAGAGGGTATAATTCAGGGGTGGAGAGACCTCAAGCTGGGAAGACAGTTTGAAACTACTTGCATCTTGTCTCTGTCTTAGTAACAGTTTGTGATTCTCTCAGAAATTACGGTGGAGATAAAATTAAGATAAAATGCTATGTGGAAGAAGTCAGTCTGGAGTGGGATTTAAGAATGAGAGACTAGCTTACTCATGTGAGCAAGTGCTTTAGGCACTGCAGCAGGAATCAGTTATTTGTGGGAGGATTGATGAGGGACATGGAAAAGGGTAGCTGTGTTATAGACTTGTAAATAGAAAGGAAGCTGTGTACATTTTGGAGAACAAAGGTTGGGTGGGTAGTAGTCCTGGGACAAACCAGGCAAAGGTTTAGGCTGTCACTGAAAAATAACTTGCGTGTCCATTGACAGAATCCACTCAACAGCAAAAGGAAGCACATCCAGTGGAAATTGGACAGACTGAGTCTGCTGATGTGGACAGTGCAGAATGCAAAAGAAAGAATGTGTCTCTGCAGGGTGCTGATTGTGGCAAGTCAGGTGTGCTGGATGACATGTGTGTTATGAGGCCATTCAAAAACGTACCACTAAAGGCTGACTGCAAAAAGGAAAATCACAGGCAGTCGAAAGACCCATTTTGTGAGGAGGCTGATGGTGACAGGATGCATCTGAAAAATGCTAATGAAGGAAATATTTATGTACTGGATGCCACAAAAGAAGGAAACGTGGGTCGTTTTCTTAATGTAAGTAAAAAGTTGCATGTTCTTTCTTGGTTGTCTTAGCTTAAATAAATAAATCATGCACCTGCATAAACAGGAAAACTTTTGCACATAAATGCAAACATATACATGTGGTAGGTGCATGACAAGGCAGAGTGTGTGGTGCTCCTTGCATTCTGAACTGACAGAACAACAGGCTAGGTCACACCGGCTGTTAGTGCCTCCCTAAGATGATGCATACTACATACTAGCTGTCATTCTTAGCACCACTAGTTACCCGAGTGAAATATTCCCCAATAGTGAATGACATCTTTCTCCCAAATTTTTGAACAGCCTTTTTGGGGGGTCCAGAGATCAAATGGCACATCTTGTTGAACCACAAGGTTTCTCCCAGCCTTGTTGGTTTTTGTTCCCAGCCATTGTATATTCTAGCTTCTGCTGATTTAGGGTAAGTGTTGTGATATTGTAGGAAATTTCCCTACTGTTCCATCGTATGTTCAGAAAGTAGTCTGTCATATTGTGTACATATCTGGTAAATAACTCTCAGTTTTGACTTGCCAAGAAAAAGTAATGAATTGCCAAGTACAGCAACTAAGACAAATAGTTCATAGACACGTTTGCATGTACTCTGCAAGTAACTTGTTTCTCTTCATTGGCATGAATATGTGTGTTACAGCAAAATCTTTGCATATATTTAAGGTGTTCCACCTTGCAGAGATAATATGGTGTTAAGATTAGTAGCACATCTTGCTGAAACCTTTCTTCTGCATCCAGGAACATACACGTGTTTCTATGGGCACCTGAATGACCTTTCACATCTTGTATCTCTTTGCCAATATACACAATTATTTAATCTGTTCCTTGCTCCCTGATACTAGTACTGCTCCCCTGGCTGCCAGCAAGAGCATCTGTCATGTACTGAGTATTTGTGGTGCATCCTAAATCTAAGATGAATTCTATCCATAAATTTCTGGAGGACAGCTTGATAAAATAACTTGGTTTTCCTAGGCAAAAATACTTTCATAATATGATGGAAATAATATTTGAAAGAGGCATAGTTTCTGCAAACATTAGTGGCAGTGGCACTGAGTAATTGAGATTCTGTGTGGCCTGGAGAAGGGAAGGAAGAAACTACCTTTACTAGTGACAGGTATCTGATACAAAATAAGTTCTTTGGCCTATGATGAGGTATTGCCCTGCTTCTAATTCAGATATTCTGTTTTACAGCACAGCTGCTCCCCAAATCTCTTTGCACAGTGCATTTTTGTAGAGACTCACAACAGAAGTTTCCCATGGGTGGCGTTCTTCACAAACAGGTGAGTTTTTGGAAGTTGAATGCTGTCCATTCAAGGCACTAGGAAAAAAGCAGTGCTTAGGTACTAGGAAATAATAACAACAAATAGATGTTTGGATCATGAAACCGTAAAACTACCTTTTTATTGGTGACTTATTATTGAGCATTAAACATTGAAAAAATACAGCTGTTTATCACTAATGAGTTATTATTCAGTTTTGCACTGAAATATAAAGACGAAAGCTTGATTTTTTGATGGGTCCATTTCAGTGATAATTTTCAGTGGTAAAATAAGTTTAATTCAGTATGGTCATACAAAAGCCAGGATTCACTGATTCCAGTGTTGTGTCTCAAGGAATGGTCAGCAGATCTGTGTCCTGTAGGGCAGGATTAGATCTTACAGGGTCTTAAGGCTGAGACATTTTGTGGGCCAAACAAGCTGGTTCCAGCTCTTCTCCTTGCAGCTGCCAAAAGAAGCAGGACTTTGTGTAGCCACATGTGTCCTGGGGAGGTGGCATTATGATGGTGAAAACTTCCTCTGAAAGCAGAAGATGTGCGTCTTCCCTTAGTGGATGACAGGAAGTGAGGTACAGAGAACTGGTACCATTGAGACATGAGAAGGCAGCAGCTAAACCCAGGAGGGAAAAGATTGTGTGAATTAAGCTAGCTGATGCATGTGACAGCAGGTGTGCTAGGTGAAAACTTACAATAGAGGAGAGAATTCATTCCAAACAAACCCCAGGGAGCACTGATCCTCTGTGGAGTCTTGCAGCCATGGTCCATATCAGCACAGATGCTGTGGACTGCGCTGTGAGGAGGGCTTCCAAGAACTGTGAAGACAATGTTTTGAGATGTACCAGAAAAAGCTTTTGTTTAGCGAGAGTCTTTCTTGCTCGGGTACTCGGTAAAAAATTGTTTAATGGGGACTGAAGCCAGTGGAGAGAGGTAACAGTGGTCAGCAAAAGACACTTAGGGAAGATTGTTGAAGGAAAGTTCCCCTGGCTGGGCCTCCTGCTTTCTGGCAATCACCCTTTTGCAGCTTTTCTACATTAAGGATTGAATCTGGATCATTTAGCTTAATTGCGAACTTGCTCAGTCACCTTTTAATTTGTTTGATGTTTCTGGCCTCCAGAACATCCTAAGGCAATAAGTTCCAGGTTGCAATTATGTGATATTTGAAAAGTCCTCGTTCTTTGTTCTCAGCCTGCTGCCTGTAATTCACTGAATGTTCCTTATATTGGAGAATTACTCTTTGTAATACTTCTATTTAATTGTTGTTTTCCTCACTTATCACTCAGCATCTTAGACTGAGGTATTTAATTCGGCATTCATATGGGGCAACGAGTTGCCTACCTGAGAAATTTCTTCTCTTTCATGTACTGTGTCAGAGTGGCTGGTTCATGAGTAGCATGTGCTTAATTCTGAGTCTTAGGCTTCCTGCATATAGATAGTGCAATTGCATTAAAACCTGGCTTGTCAGACCAGAGATGATAGTCTTCCTCATCAGTGTATCTAGAGATCTGTTTGAATCTTAGTGATGCACTGTACGAAGTAAAAATAACAAAACTGTTTGTGTTCTCATTTAGATTTATTCACTTCTGGTTTTTCCTCTTTTTTTTTTTTTTTTTTTCGTTTGGAGGTTTTGTTGTTTTGTTTTTGTTACTTTTGTTTCCCAGAATTTGTCTCTAAGCTAGAGCAGGCTAAACCAGGCTGTTTAGGCTCTGACCTTATTGCACTGCTTGATAAATTTGTTTCTCCTAGGTGTGGCTATTTGCACACTGCATAGCTCTGGTGGGCAAAGCAGCATGCATGTCCCAGAGATTCCTTTTATCTCTTGGCTCTTTCCCAACAAGCTCCTGCCCCTATGATTTTAGGGGTTGCACGTGAGGGGCTGGTGACAAATTGCAAGCATGGCATTGTTCACTTGGTTCAAACAAATTGACTGTTTTATTTCTTAGGCATGTGAAAGCTGGAACTGAACTCACATGGGATTATGGTTATGAAGCTGGAAGCATGCCAGAGATAGAGATTTCCTGTGAGTGTGGAGTTCAGAAGTGCAGGAAAAAAACCCTATAGGCAAAGCTTTATTACTGCCAACACATGTACTGGAGATCAATATGCTCGAAGGACTACTGCACAGTGAACAGTACAATTCAGTCTGTGGAGCTAATTACATTCAATTAAAATGCCCTTCACCTGATCGTTTTTTAAAATTTATATTTAAATGACACTTTTCTAGTTTACGGTATTTGAACTGTTTGTCATAACAACAGGCATCAAAATTTTCCTATGCTCCTAGTCTTGTCATTCCCCCCCCCCCCCCTTTCCATTCACAAATAGAGTTCTCAGCGCAGTGGAGGAGCTCGGGCTGCTGTGCCACGTTGTCACCAAAATCAGAGACATGCCTGATGTAAAGCAACGGTTGGTTGATGTTTTCTGTGCCCTTCCACAAGGGTGAGTCAGCAAAGCTCAGGTTTCTGACACTCATTATAAATGGAAGTCTGCCTATTTGGGGGCCAAGAATTATTAGAATATACCTAAGCCTGATGGATGCAGCGGGACAGATAGTTTTGAGCAGGGATGAGATTAATCAGAACAGATTTTCAGAGCTTTGTGCTACATAGTGAGCTGGGCAAGTCCTGCTGCTGCAGGAGGGAAACAACTGGGGTTTTGGGGGCTGCATCCTGTCAGAGTCCAATTGGAGAAAAACCCAGTGTCAGACCCTGTTTTGTTCATGATCCCACGAGTGAAATTAAGGCACAAACGAGGTCAAGTACTGTAATCGACCAGTTGGTTTACTACAAAAAGAAAATTTTTATTAAAAAAAAGGGAAATTATTGTAATAAAGAGGATAGCGACAGGAAAGATTGAAGAACGGATGGAGATGAAGCAAGGATTTGGGTTGCAGAGGGAGACAGAGAGAGAGTCACCACTGTGGATCCAGTGGTGTCCCGGGGATCTGTCGGCGTTGCTGGTGGGAGTCCTTCAGTGTTCGTAGTCGGTATTGGAACAGTGTCCCCAAGAGCCGGTAGTAGTCGTTGGAGGTGGGTGTCCTGGTGGAGTCACCCCTTGAAGGTACCCTTGGAGGTGTCCTGGTGGAATTGCCCTCATGGCAATGTCTTATGGAGGGTGTCCCTCAGAACCTGCAATAGTCATCGGTGGAGAGTGTCCTTACAGAGGTGTCCTTCTGGTGTCATCCCCATGGCAATGGCTCCCTTTTGTGATTAACTTTTCCCCCTTTTATAAGGAGTTGGTGGGAGTACCTCTGTTCTTTATGTCATGTATTACACATTTTCAGCCTGGAGAAGAGAAGGCTGCATGGAGACCTCATAGCAGCCTTTCAGGATCTGAAGACGGCCTATAAGGATGCTGGGGAGGGACTCTTCATTAGGGACTGTAGGAATAGGACAACACACACACCACTGGGAGATTTCCTCTGTTTCTCACAGGTGCAATGATTCTGCAAGCTCTTTGAACAGCAGTGGCTTCAGGCAAAATCAGAACCACAGTATGTCAAACAGGGCCATGGGAGAGGAGAACTGAGGTTTCATTGTAAGCAGAATGGTTTACAGGTCTGTTGTCTCTGTTGAAGGTCCACTTTTAACAAGCTTAAACTATCCTCATGCATGGCGAGACTGTTGAGAAATTTGAGAGCATTGTATGTTGCAGCACAAGTCCATGTTTTTTAAACTTGAAGCATCCAAAACAAACGCAAAAACCAGCTTAGGGCCACAGGTATCACATTTTTCCACAGTTACGCAGCAAAGATGCAGCCCAATTAAAAGAGGAGTAACCCAAAGCCACATAGACATAAGTCATCTGTTGCCTCTTGGCCTCAGGGCCAAGCACTTGTTCTTGCTTCTCTTTCAGTTTGCCATATAGCTAGAGGCTTGAAATCTCTACTCCAAGGCTATGTTTTACAGATAGATAGGAACCAGCCTCAAGCTTGCAGGCCCTTGTCCTTATGGGGGACTTCAACTACCCTGATATCTGTTGGAGCAACGGTACGGCCCAGCACAAGCAATCCAGGAGGTTCCTCGATTGTGTAGAAGACAGCTTCCTTCTGCAAGTAATAGAGGAGCCAACAAGGAGAGGTGCCATGCTTGACCTCGTGCTCACCAACAGGGAAGGGCTGGTTGGAAATGTGATGCTCCAGGGCAGCCTTGGATGCAGCGATCATGAGATGCTCGAATTTGAGATCCTCAGGACAGTGAGAAGAGCGTGCAGCAAGCTCACTGCCCTGGACTTCAACAGAGCAGACTTTGGCCTCTTCAGGAACCTGCTTAGGAAGGTTCCATGGGATATAGCCCTAGAGGGCAGGGGGACCCAAGACTGTTGGATGATATTCAAGAATCACCTACTGCAAGCTCAGGAGTGTTGCATCCCAACTAGAAGGAAGTGCAGCAGGAGGGCCAGGAGACCTCCTTGGATGGATAAGGAGCTCCTGAGGAAACTCCGAAGGGAAAAAGAGGCTTATAAAAGGTGGAAGGAAGGACAGGCAGCCTGGGAAGAATACAGGAATGTTGTCTGGAAAGCTAGGGACCAGGTTAGGAAAGCTAAGGCCCAGTTAGAATGCTGCGGAGGGACTCTTCATTAGGGACTGTAGTGATAGGACAAGGAGTAATGGGTTCAGACTTAAACAGGGGAAGTTTAGATTGGATATAAGGAGTAAGTTCTTTACTGTAAGGGTGGTGAGGCACTGGAATGGGTTGCCCAGGGAGGCTGTGGCAAGCGGTGTTCAAGG